CGCAGGATGACTTCCTCATTCTGGTCCGATCTTTTCTTCGGCAGGACCCCCCCCTTCAACACCGAGCCAGCGTCTGCGAGCAGGAGGATGGAGGTGTGAGCACCCTGCCATCGCGCACCCCAGTAGCGTTCCCACTGGTAGCCCCAGCACTGGGACTCCTTCCTGCATGCCACTCCTGCCACTCACCCGTCCCGAGGAAGAGGACTTCTTGTGGCCCATCCTCGGCCTCCACCCGGTCCTCCACGAGCTGACGCAGGCGGTGGGGCAGGTCGGTCTCCACCAGAAGCGGCCGGCGGTGCCGGGGGTACACGGGCTTGTACATGAGGGGATGAGCGCGTGCAAAGTGCAGCACCTCGTCGGGGAAGTCCTTGGTGGTGCTGTACTGCCGCCGGGGCTGGTTGGTGGTCTTACTGGGACACTGTGGGCATGAGAGGGTACGAGCTCAGCCTGGCAACCCCAGAACCCATCTCTCCTTCCCCCTCCATCACCCTGCAGAGCTGGTTTCAGTCTTTCCCTGCCTTCAATCTGGGATCCATCTTCTCCACCCTTTTGCCAAATCTTGGTCCCCAGCTGTCCCCAGGTTGGATCCCACAGGGAGTCCATCTCAGCAGGTGGGAAGGAGGGGATCAGCCCCACCACCCCTGCAAAGCAATTGGAGGAGCGGAGGAGACTCAGAAGTCCAGTCACTCACCACGCCCGGCCGTGGGTAGGGCACCTTGCCCTCGTAGGCGCCCCACTGATGGAGGGGGCTCTCCCGGTGGGCGAAGGGCCCATTGAAGACCTCACGGATGTCGGCCATGTGGTACTTGCAGACTGCTGAGCCCTGGAAGACATGGCTGAAAAGGGATGGTGACTGGGTGAGCAGAGCCACGCTCAGCACTGGCACTATCAGTGGGGAGGACCGATATCTCCTTATGGAGCAGGGCAGAGCTGGCAGAGGTTGGGGAGCAGCCAATGGCCCAATGGTGACAGTGGCGGGGCAGGTCATGAGTGGCTGCAGCTGGATGTCCCCAGAGGCTGGAGCTGGATGACCCACCTGGTGGTGCTGAAGAGGGCATAGATCTCCGGGCTCTTCCCATCCTTCGTCCTCAGCAAGAAGACGTCCTCTGGTGACAAAACCATAGGGTTCCTCCTGGAAGCCTAGGGGCTTCCTGAAGCCACTGGCTAAGGCACCAGCCCTGGCGAGATCCCCAGCTCCATGCAACGCTTACCCAGCTCATCGAAGTGAGTGTCAACGCCACCGGGGCCAGGGACAGAGCACACTAGCCGGGCTTTGTTGAAGGTACTCCACTTGTTGACCAGCACCCTCTGGCCACCAGCATCATTCTGCAGGGACAGGGAACATGAGAGCCACCACTGTGACTTGGCACATCCCTGCCCCTCGTAGTCCCCACCAGAATCTTACCACACAGACTCGTGCCACCCGGCTGACAATGGCATGCTCCTTGCTGTCTGCCTCCACCACCTTCTCCGTGAAGAAGAAATAGGCCTTGTCATTGTCCCGGTCATCACTGTCAGGGATCAAGTGGGCTGCCACAAATTTGGGGTCTACAAGAAAGAATCAGCAACATCAGGTGGGGAGAGAGGGCA